ACTAATTAACAACAAGTTACTGCGTCTGCGTATGTTGCTTATGCTTATGCTAATGTCCTAGTGAGAACCAGCCGTTACAGTGGGAAGTGTTTTAAGAATGTTACTTCTTAGACCAAAAATGTGATTTTCAATGTTCATAAAAATCAAGATATGACGATCGAAAGACTTCCAATTCCTCAAGACTCTAGTTAAGGACTTATGAAAGAAATTGAAGGTCAATTTTTCAACTGCTAATCGTTCCGTTTTTAAGACCCTACTTATTATCAAATTTCTAGCTGATCCAGGCTAACAGATGTAATGATATGACACTGACCTGAATTTAAACTTTTGTGAACTATGCAAGTTTAACATATTAATTTTAACGCGAACTTGTATTTTTTTCTTAAACGAGTACCATCAATCGTAATTTTACTAAATATTATCCCATAGAGAAACGGTGACGAGAATTTGAGAATCAACCCACCCTAATCAGTAGATCCAACTTCATTTACACTGACAATTTTGCACGCTTTTGTGTCTCTGTGTAATTTTTAACACTTTTCAGAGAGCTGTGGCGTTCAAAAACATCTCAGTGCATCACGACGAAACCGATGAAAGCGATAAAATAGGAGAATTATTGGGGACATCGTTCCAGGCCAAATGGTTCACTGGCTTATCTAACAATATGTTAAGTGACATCTCATTTGCGTGGAGGAAACAAGGCACACGCTTTGATCCAATCGCCATTATTCAAAGTATTTCTGACCTACTGAAGAAGGAAAGCGAGGCACAAGGAAAGCCGTTGAACGACTGTTTCTATGAAAGCTTGACCGATTTGGAACGAGATCCTGACTTCATCCAACTGCTCAATGAGTTTAATGAAGGAATAAACAATGAAAGAAACATCATGACAATAGGTATGTTTCAAATATTGTTATTAATGGCATTATAAATTGGAAAAACATTTACTATACCATATGTAATATGACCATTTCAAATAAAGTAGATACTGCATCATACCGCACAATGCTATACCATACTGTACTGTATGGTAACATACCATATCACACCCGGCACACCATACCATACCATACCATATCATACCAAACCACACCAAAACACCACACAACACGACATGTCTGACACCACACGCCACGCCCGACTACATTACATGCCATGCCACGGCACGACACGCAACGCCACGCCACGCCACGCCACGCCACGCCACGCCAAGCCACCGGCGACACGACACGACACACAACACTTTTCTGAATCACGAAAGACTGAATTTGTCACTAGCAAAAGAAAATAAAACCAAAAATGTTGTTTAGGCTGTTTTCCTTTTCGACAAAGACAAGTATACATTGCCCTGCGCACCCAAACTATCACTTTCTTTCTTTGTATGTAGGATCCAATTTGCCAGAACTTCAAAAAGATGATAATCCCATCAAAGATGTCGGTCTTAGGGGCGAAGTAATTACTGGCGAAAGTTCCGATGCAGAAAACGACTTGATAAGATACAGTAACTACATCTCAGGAGCTGGATCTACATTTGGTGGTTTTATGTCTGGCTTTCCAGGAGATGCCCAAAGTTTGGTCACAGGTAATTTTTGCAATAACATGGGCCTCTGTAAAAGAAAAGACCTTATATTCATATGGTCATTAATCAACTAGATATTAACTGGTTTTCTATAGAGTCGTTTTCTACGTTTATCACGTTTGCGAACTGACGTATACACGTTTGCGAGCTGTCCGCTAGACGTTTGCGAACTGACCGCAGACATCCTAACAAATATAGATTCCTTTCGAAAGTAACTGCTTTCAGTCCAAAGTCGTTTGATCGAAGTTGATCGTCTATAATGCTTAGAAGAGGAACGATGACAATGATTGCAGAAAGATCTGTCGCGAGCACGAAGCTTTGGTAAATAACAGATTTTCCTAAACCGTCGGTAAAATGGATAAGACGTCTCTTCCAGAAAGCAAAGGCGCAACCTTAATCTGTTCGTTCTTCAAGTAAGCCTTCCGTAGCGTTCTGCTAAACGCACTTCAACTGCTTACTGCTTCTTCTAAACCTGTATCCGTCGATAGCAGTGACAACTGATGTGTCAGCATGTTAAAATTTGTCAAATGTAGATGACAACGTGTTCACAAGTGTTTAATGTTTCTTAGCCAATCCAGTTCTCCGATGCTGGGTCTGCGGGGAAATTTAAGCACGTCGGAGAGTGCAGTCACAGTTCCCGCCTCGGCCCGTTCACTCAGTCCCGCTGAGCCTAGACTCGCCCAAAAAGGACTGCTTGCAGTCTAGAATCTCTAAAAATAGGCCGTTAGGTCATCGTCAAATTCGCTTCCAATTTCCCAAATTTTAGGGCGCGTCCAATGTGGCGGACGGCACGATCAAGGTAAGCCATTTTAGAGGCGCGCGTGCCTTCCGTGATTGGACTGTTTGTATGATTTTTTAAACCATTTTCATTAATATTTTTATCAAGGTAATTATGGGACAATTCCTTGTTTATACGCAAGAATCTATTTTCCCTGCAAATGCCAGAAATTTCACCACTAATTTCTGTGTCCATTAATCTCGTTAATAAAACTATTTGCACCCGGCTATAGACAAGAAGTGAACCTCTACCCAGCTCTCTAATTAACTGAAATATCTGATGAGGCGTTTTGTTATTTTTGTAGATATGATGGACAGCATGAATTATAAGGTCAATGCTCTGGAATTTAGACTGAAGAGGGACGCGAAGCTTGAGGCACTTAGAAAGCTGGATATGGAGATAGTAGTTGAAAATACCATTGAAACTGACTCAGATCTTCGAGCAAAGAGAGTAGGAATGAAAGACGTCCAAGACATGGTTGTCGACGAATCATTTGACAACATCAAGAAAGTCAGGGGTGCCAGTAATCAGCAGAAGTTGACCCAGCAGAACTTTAATACTCAGAAGAAAATATCACAGATGAAAGTAAGAGAATCAGCGAAGAAATATGCAAGAAAATTTATGAAAAAAGTCGGCAGTGGCATTGAGACATCTACTACAGCATTCACTTTTGCACAAGGAGGGGTTGATGTAGCAGGTGGAAGTGACATGATCGACAAAGCTGAAGAACTAAGAAAGTCGGGAGCCATTTCAGAGGATGAATATGATACGATGATGAGAAATGGTCAGCTTCGAGTAGCTCAAGGAAGCTTTGGTCTCGCAAACGGTGTTAAGAACGTTGGTGAATTTGTCGGTAAAAGACTCCAAAAAACTATCGTAGATAAAGGTTCTAAAGCTGGATTAAAGCTCCTGAAACAAGCACAACGGTTCGCACCAGTAATTGGTGGTATGATATCCATGGGAACAACTGCAACATCAATTGCCAAGAATGCAATCGCCGCGAATGATGCTATGATGCAAGGAAATGCCGGCAAGGCCGCCATGTATGGAGTAATGGCAGCTATTGATGTAATAACTTTGATTCTGGACGGAGCAAGCTTAGTCACAGACTTTGTATTCCCACCGCTATCACCAATCATTGACCTTGTCAGTACAGTCTTGCAAGTTGTCAACACAGTGCTTGGGTTCTTTGCTGACTTGATAGACTTCCGATCCACTAAACAAAGAGTGACCGACGAATTCAATGCTTACATCAATTCTGATGCGTTTAAAAAGTACGTAGATGACATGGCACAGACATACAAGAAACGAGGCTTTGATGTATTTACATACATTGTAGATGCAGAAGTGGCAGGTATCGAAGCTGACACCAAAACCCTGCGAGAAGTCTCCAAGAATATCAACAAGTGCCTCACTGATAAAGCCAAAGAGGATTTCAATAATCCACAACATCGCATAGCATTGCTAGATGCAACGTCTTTCGGCAAAACTTTAAAAGGAAGACTTAATAATGATGAAATTATAGCCGGTTTTGGTCCAGATGAAATCTTTGGCGACGAAGGCGATGACATGCTGTTTGGACGAGGAGGAGATGATACCATTTATGGTGGTCCAGGAAATGATTACCTCAACGGTGGAACAGGACGAGATGTTCTTCTAGGTGGAACAGGTGATGACATGATTAACTGTGAGCCTGCTGTTGATTTGAAATGTGAAGGAGGTGAGGGGGACGATACCTTAGAGTTATCTGGCGAATCTTTGATCTACGACGACAAATACTGGAAAGCCCCGTATATAACAATGGGCAAGCAATGGGAAATGAATCCTTCAAAAGTCTCAGCAGTTAAGGGGATTTATCTTGATATGAGACATGCAAAAGGAGACACAAAGCAGGGATTATCGGGGATCAGTTTGGGATCCCTCTTTCAAGGTTGGCCTGATGGATTTGATGAGTCCATTCATAAAGCAGCAATACCGCAAAATTCAGAGCTCCACTCTCTGTTTACTCAATTTTACGCCTTTTTGCCGTTTGTACCTCTTGACAACTGGAGGGAGAAACTAAAAAATAAACAGATGTGGTTCTTAGCTGATATGGGTATGGCAAAGTGTTTCTTTGATGGAAGTTCCATGTATTTAGCTTATGGCAGCGGCAAAGACACCAAGTTGGTGAGTGATTACCAAAATGTACTCCAAAATCTGGACACAACATTTGCTGTTTATAAGAACGATCGTTTACAGTACACAGACGGTGAAAAGATTAAGGCTCTTTTGACATTTGCTTTTAAAAGAAGCTTTTTATCTGACAAGTTTGAAAAAGTAGCTGGCTCACCACCTGCTGATCTCCTAAGCCCATCAAATTACATCCCTACAACTATCATCGGTGATAACGAACATAACGTAATTGACTTGTCTTATGGTCTTGGTGACGTAGTTTACACTAATAAAGGAGACAACGTTGTTTCTGTTGGAACGACTATGCCAGAACATCAAGTGAAGGTTGACGGATTTCCTGACGGGGGATTTAAATGGGCTAAATACATCGTAGGAGGTAGTGGAGAGAATACACTGATAGTACAGTTCATGAAAACTCCAGAGTCGTGTCCGGGGGACTACAACAGTTTTATCAGAACTGGGCTCTTCTAGACTTAGATGTGAAATTGAACAGTGAAAAAAATTTCCGCATTATGGAACCACATCTCATTTACGCAAAGAACATAAAAACAGTGGAAGTTCATCGTCCACCCAGTGGCTGTCGTAGTTTAGTGTCTTTTAGTGCTAAATATTATAGTGGGGCGAGTCGTTTTATACTTGACGAGACGAACCTTTTCGAAGGTCCTGACGAAAGTGAAAGGGACGTAATAGTCTTGTTGAGAAGTCTGAAGAAAACCTACAAAATAACTTTTGGTGTTGACGTAATGAACACTATTTCGTTTAAATATTACAGCGATTCAGAATACAAAGTTACCAAAATAGAAATTGGCACCGGTCCTGGTTCAGATTCCGGTAGAATATACACGTCGGAAGGACCTGGTAGAATAATGGAAAACGCTAGAAATGTTATCGGTACGCCATCGTGCAAGGAAATCATTGGCAATGACAAGGCAAACCTTCTGATGGCTGTTGGAGGAGAAACTACCATTGATGCCAAAGATGGAGATGATACTTTGGTGAGTGGACGTGGTAGACACATCTTGAACGGTGGAAAAGGTGCAGACACGTACGTTATTCATGGCCCTCAGGTGAAGGACGTTTTAACGATTTCTGTTATAATGGGAGATGACGGTGAGACCATCAGATGTAGAACAACCATATTTGGCGAATGGAAACCATCAGAGAAACGACTTGAGATCGACCTCTTACAAGATGACCATGGCGACATTGTCTTGGCTTCTGTTGAAGTCATCCCAGCCGAAGGTGACGACAACAAAAACTTAGGCTCTTTAAAAATTGATAACACCAAAAGAAAACTTATCTTTGAGCCCGGTAATAACTTTAATGACTTGGAGAGAAACAGGGCTAAAGTTATTCGAGTATCTTTCAAAACAAAAGGAAGCACTGCCACAATAAAGGAAGATGATTATGGAAATGTCTTAAGATTTGAGTCCATAGAAAGCTTCGACGAGTTGAAGGTCACTATTAAAAATGATGAACTGCTCTTCAAGGATAGCTCCGATAACATTGTCTTTATTGATCAAAACTGGAAAAGGCTTGAACACAAAACCAATTTACTCGACCATATACTAGATTTTGGCCAGCGTTTTCCAGCGATTCTCTTTAGAAAAAGTGATGGTGAATTCGAGCGCAAGTCGACGAAGGAAACAGTGCAATTCATTTATGAGCAACTCAGACACATTGAAAGTGAGCTTGGACAAGATTACGACTCGTACATTGATTCAACGGAGCTCTCGTCTGATATCGGCAATGAAATTTATGTTGGAAATGGTGAAAATATTGTCTTGGCCAAAACAAAAGGCAAAACCTACAGACTTGGGGAATGTCCTCAAAAAGTATCATCTTTGCTAACAATTTTGTTGAAGGATCAGGAAAAGTGATCGTTAAAGTTGCTGACAGGTTCTCTTTAGTACGAATCAACACAGTAGTTGTTGGAGTTGGATCTGGAGAAGTAGTTGAACTTCAAAGGATGCATCACAACATCATCATTACTGGTGTTAATCCAGACGAAGTACACTTCTACAAATGTGGTAGTGCCAACATGAATAGACGTATTTGTGCCAAAGATTCAAAACAGCAAGAGTTCCTAATATTAAATGGAGGATACTGTCAAAAGCTGATCTTTAAGAAAGCCGAGAAAGTAACGATTATCATGAACTGTGACATCTACTTGGACACCAAAACCGACAAAGATGGTCGCCTACCATCCTGGCCCATTATTGTCTCATATGGAGCGAAGAGGGAATACAAACTGACCTTGCCAATCAAAAGAGATGAATCACGTGTCGATATATGGCCTCATCCTGACGGGAACGTCATAAGAGTCTATTTCAAGAATGAAAGACCTTGGCCAGATGCATACTGGAGTCTTTCATATTTGGCAATCCCAACAGAAAGTCCAATGCCAAAGGAAATCGATACAAGAATGCTGGTCAACGCAATGAAAAGCAGGTTCAAGGGAGGCATCGAATTTTCTGATAAAGAGCACATTAACAAAGATGGGATCTGCCAGTTAATTGTTGATCTCCTGAAAAAACATCCACCGTCAAAATTCACCCTGACCAATCAGAACCTAGAATGTCAAAAAAGCGAGACTGAAAACGAGTAAAAATAAAGCAAAGTCAGTTAAAAGTGCACGCAAATACAATGCATTATCAACCTTGTCATATAGAGTAGAAATATATATAAACCCGAGCAAATCCAAATAAAATTTCAGTTTTATTAACTGAACTGATCTTGTTTTTGTGGTATTACAGTATTGAAAACTAAAATCTCCAGTCCAATGAAATCAAATTAATACGCGATTTTCATTTTACAAATTACATTTGTAATTGTCTCGATTACTTGTTTTGATGCAGAAAACCGTAATAAATCGTGATTAATTTAGTTAAAAAGGCCTCACCCAAATTCAGAACTGTGCCTTGTTTTCCCCACTTTTAAACCTCTTATCGAAACGAATTTTGGCCATAATATAGCTAGAACAACGCTACGACTTAAGCATAAATGGATTTTCAAAACCTATTTTAAAATTATTTCTTATGGTCTTTGACGTTTTATCAGTTTTTATCACACCTACCAGGCTTTCCTGGTCCAATAAGGCTGTAAAAAATACTTCGAGAAACATTTTTGAAAAATCTTAGCGTTGCTCTAAAAATGTTGTCGCTTACTTTGGTTTCTAGAGGTTTTTGTTTTTTTTTGTTTTCCTACTTTAAAAAGATGGGAAAACAAAGCACAGTTCTAAATTGGGTGTGGTCTTTTTCGATTTTCAAAAACTAACTGCAGTTTCAAAGATCCCTCATGACAAGTTTTCTAATGGCATGTGCTTCATTAAAATGATGCAGTCTCTGAAGATTGTCATCTTTCATTCAAACTCGAAAAAGCTATATTTTGAGGCGAAATTAACGACTTTCACTTCTCCGCAACTAAAAATGATTTTGAAAAGTTCTCTAATGTAGAAGATTAGAGCTCTATATAATAATAATAATAATAATAATAATAATAATAATAATAATATGTGTTTATTAATTCCTTTCGCAGTCACTAAAAGGTTACATGACTGAATTACAGGAACAGTGCAATAGCAGTAAGCGGACGAAACATTAAATAAAATTATACACAGCACGCCACTAGACATTCAAATATTTTACAGATACGAATTGGCTAAGTCTGTTTGTACGAGCAGGAGCAAGGCGACGGCTAGCATTCGAGCGTAGCTCATAATGTTGTGGTATATCCACTGTTCTTGCATATATAATCTTCTTTACTGGGTGATCTTCAGGCAAACTATTAATATATTTATAACAAAGGTCGTGCCTGCGGCATTCAAGACTGACAAGATTTGCTTTTGCAAGAGCATCATCATAACTGATTGCCGGGTGGATTATAGACAGGGCTCGTTTTTGAATTTTTTCCAGCGCATTACAAAGCCGTTTTGTCATGTTTGCAAAAACGACGCAGCCGTACTCGATCACCGATCTGATTAGTGTACAATACACAGCAACTAAATCTTTCTCAGACACACCACTTTTTTTTAAGTTGGCGAAGCGCATGTAGCCTTTTGTTGGCTTTCTTGAGTATAACTGCACAATGTACGTCCCACGTAAGGTCGTGCGAAATGACGATACCGAGTAGTTTAAATTCGCTCGCACGCTTCACGACCGTGTTGCCGATAACAATGGGACTCCACACGCAGCTGTTATACTCAAGAAAGTCAACCGCCATTGTATTACATTTTTTGGATTTAATCTCATGTTATGACTGTTCGGATACTGATGGATGTCCTCCACGAGGAGGGTTAGATCGTCTACAAACTTCCCTCGGGGGGGGCCACGAACTCATTAAAGGTAAGGTTTGTTTTAAATACAGTTTGATTCTGAAACAATTTTTTGAAATATGAGGAAAATAAAAAAGTGTAAAAACTTCAAATATCCGCCAGGCGTTGCTCGTTCGCAAAACACCCCACAGAAAGTTTTTGTCTTTTTTGAAGCTAACAATAACTTGATGTACACCAAAATAATATGATAAAAAGAAGACAATAAGGGCTTTCTCGTCATTAAAGAACATATCTTCTTTAACTTATTTTCAAAAAGCACCGGAAGCCCGGTATTTTCACATTCTAACAACTTTTCGCAAAATTCACAAAGCGATTTCTCAGCAACCAAATAAAATCTTGCAAATTAACTGAAACGATATTCGTAAAGCTATTGTCAAGGGCTTTCAGAAATGTAAGTTTTACTTTCGGAAAACGGACGTTTCTTTTATCGGATATTTTTTTACTTATCTGCCAGGAGTTCCTTGTCCTTTCTTTTTTCTCAAATTTTAAAAAGAGTAATTTCAATAAACGTACTATTGCAATTGTACACTATTCTTGCCATCTGACGGAGAAAAGAGGAAGAACAGAACTACTGTACAACAGCCACCTGTTAGTTGGTAGAGCGCTGGCCTGCAGAGCGGGAGCTCCAGGCTCAATACACGGGATGGCGCCCTCACAAACATTTGACAGGCGTTTGCCCCCACATTTTCCCCCACATTAATTTTGCATACTTAGCCCCAGGGTTTGCAGAGGCTTTACATTTTGTCGGGGCCATACAGTTGGCAGTTCACTCTCTTTGAACAACTAATATTGCCATGTCATACATACTCCCTGACTGTCTTATATATTATACTTAATTACAGGACATGCGATCCCTTTAAAATACTAAGACAACATCAGAATAACGTCTGGAATATTAAATGTTCTCTTATCACCATATACGAGATCACCAATCCTAAACCACAGGTTCCTCAGTTATTAGCGGAAAACACGAAACTGCGTTCCCGTGATGCACATCTTCCATCTTGGTGACCAACTTGATCATGAATCTCTACGTTTGTATTTTCATTTTGTTGCTTAACCATCGGCTTTCGTTTATATTTTAAGCAAGGAAAACAAAATAATAATTTCTCTGGCAGGATCAGAAAAAGACATCGTA